AAGTAAGTTTCTGCAAACTCATGCGGATTAATCCCCTTATTCATCACCGATTCGAAAAATGTCGGTGTATTTTTCCGCGAGAGGGCGGAAGGAACGAGATCGTGAAACGAACGCGAGATTCTTCGGATTTCTTCGCTTTCTCCTGGTTATCTTCTTCTTCTTTTTTTTTTTTTTTTTTTCAAACTCAACTCCCAAGTCCTCGCTACGAACAAAGAATTTATTCTACCGATTACTTCGTCTTCCTTCAGCTGTCCTTGATTGTGCTCCTTGAAGAGGAAGAGGAAGAAGAAAAGGAAAAAAAAAAAAAAAGAGGAAGGACAATTCCGACGACGGTGTACAGCGTCGTTTGCAATTTCAGCTTATCTTCGTAGATAAACTCTGCCATTAGCGAGAGTAGCACGCTTCAACGGAGGGGCTTTAATTAGGCTCACTCAATTATTTGAGCATTAAAGGAGCTTCCAGCGGCGAGGAAGGGCGAACGACATCGTACCTCTGCGAAATGTCGTTAACAAAAGCTCTGCGAAACGAAAATGCTATAATTACCGTACGAATGCCGGATTACAAATAGGTCTCGTTTGATTCGTTAACTCTCGAGCGAAGATTTCTTCTTTTTGTATTCGGTTTGTTGGCTGAAGCACACTGAAACATCCTCGAGCCTCTTGCGTTCGATTTGCATTAACGACTTCAATGTAAGATCTGTCATTCTCTTTTAGAATTCAACATTCACCGAACTACTTCGTTGAAAGTTTCGTTCAATGATTTGAATTTACATTAACCCTTAAATAACACTGTGAAAGTAGTCGTAATTTTTCTCCGATGAAAATGTAACAAGAATACTGACTAATTAAAGTTCTTGGTTGACGTGGAGAAATCTCTCTTCTCAAAGAATTAACGTATTAATATATTTTATTGTAGAAATAACGGGATAAAAGAATTAAAAGGATAAGATGAAAGATGGTAAAAAATACAGGAGATTAACGGTTTTATTTTCAATGTAATATATGTCTATATAGGAGACGAGTCTACAAAAGATTCGGACAATGGAAAATTGGATTTCTCCGGCTCCAAATTAATAAAATACTGATAAATAAAAATTTTTCATTGTCAAGCCCAAAATCCCCCCTAAGAGAATTAACGTATTTGCTATTGTTATAGAAATAACGAGCTGAAGGAACGAATAAAAAGGATCGATGCTTTCATTTTCAATGTAAATATCTATATATATTTTTTATTTATTCCTTTCGTTCATCATATATATAGAAGACGAGACAAAAGATAGAAAGATAATTTTGTCTAAGAAAACGGTCCGAACAACAGAAAATCGGCTTCATTTCGCACGATCGAGCCACATGACACGGGAAAGAATGGATGAAGTCCGAGATAGAAAGAGAGACAGAAAGAGGAAATAAGTGCATAGTGTATTGTCTGCACTCAAGCCGGACTACAAAATGCCTCGGAATTACTCGTTCGCAAATCCGACGGCGTAATTTAACAATTTTCCCACTCGAATCTGTCGATTCTGCCCAACTTTTGAACAATGCCTACCTTCGTTCAATCTCATTCGGACAAAAAAAAAAATTGGATTAATCAAACAGAATCGAAACATGAATCCCTTTCGACTCTGATGCCAACGCTTCCGACAATCAAATAGTGAAATTATTAGAAATCTTATTTCGAGATTAATTGTTTCTGTCAAACGAAACTGCTTACACTCTTTGACAGATATCGATGTTCCTGCTGCTTGTAATAATTAATAATTCCCTCCCTGACGTTTTGCAGAGTTCGTCGTTCAATGCAGTACACACCATGTTCGTAAAAGTAATCCAGATCGTAAAAGTAACAATGTTCTCCCACGTAAAGAGCGGCGTTCAACCACTTGCGCTGGCGGACTGATTGCGGACCATAACGAGTGACCAAAACCGTATACAACAATTTCGTCGCTTTCTTTTTGAACATGCCATGATAACACTGGATAGAAATTATTGAAAAGTAATAAATTATTAATTAGATTATTTTAGTAACAAATTATATATTAAATTATTTGTTTCGCCTGGGTTGTACTTGAATATATTTAAAACTGAGAAAATATTGCAATTTTTGGCCAAAAAAATTGCGTGGCACGTCATTTCAGAGCGCAAGAGGTTGAAAGGAAATAAAAGGATAGAGAAGGAGAATTTCGAAACTCTACTCTGACCTGTTATCATCCTCCATCGAGACGAACGAACCGAGTCCTCACCCCAATTTGAATGTTTCCACCAATTCTCTTTCCTCTGTTTCCGTTCTTACTCGTAGTGTAGTGAACTTTACTCAAGACACAAGTAGAGTCGACGGTATATCGTCCGCGGGAGAATTAATTCCACCCGTTCCGTTTTCGGTTGTAATTATCGTGGAGAGGTGGCTCGAACGGCTTCATAATTTATATGTTTACACGGATGAAAGTGTGACGAGGGAGGGGGCCAAGAGAAAGGACGGTGACTCAATTATGGAGATGGCCGCGCTCTCCGCGGCATCCTGACGGTTAATTATTCAGAAACTGGCGACGAGCCACTCGCTACGTCAGCAGCTTCCGCCTCGGACGTTCGCCGGAAGTCGAAGGAACTCTGAAAAAAAAAAAAAGAAAAGGAATTTACACGTCGTTACGCGATGAAATCGAACCCTCCCAAGCTTCCGCTCGCGAGATTCTCCTATTAATTACTTTACGTTGCAGGCCGCTCGCCAGCGATTAATTAAAATTATGGGAAAAGTTCCGAACCACCTGTTACGTGTTTAGAATTATTTCTCCGGTGTTCAGCCGTCTCTCGACTAATGAAATTCTTCGAGAACAAGAGAATAAGAGAGAGAGAGAGAGAGGCCTCTCTATCGGTATCAGAGTTAATACGGTGTCGGAGTCGATGCTCCTTGGTGTAAAAATTGGAACGAAACACAATCTCTGTCGAGTGTCCCTCTCTCGACAAGGGAATAGTAAGAGATGTCCAATGAGAATAATTTAAATGCCTCTCACGGTTCAGCTGATTTTTATTTAAAAAGAAAATAACACGGTAGAACATTGCCTTTACACAGCGAGTACATTTTATGTATTTTCTTTTTTTCCTGTGCAATTTTGTACTTTCAAATTTCCTACAATTGCATAAATATCCGCAATATTTAAATATATATGTACGCATAAAAATCCGCTCTCGATTTGCATATTTATAAATGCACGGGAAAATATGCAAATATGCACGAAAAATATGCAAATATGCACGAAACACATGCAAATATGCAGACACGCGACGAAAAATAGGCAAACGTGCACGGAAAAGACGAATGAAACACTCGGCTATTTTTCGTGCATATTTACTTGATATTCCGTGCATGTTTTCCCATCTTTCGTGCACGTTTGTACGTTTTACGTGCACAAGCATCCGCAGTTGATTCGTCACGCACCGAATCTTGTTGTCAAAGTCACGGCATCGTGTTTATTAATTGTTTCGAAACGCGACGTAACTTTACGATTCACGATTCTCGACATAACGTGTAGCAAACAAACGTTTAATATACCCAGTGTACCGTTTTATGGGACAGAGCACGCAACTCTACATGTCTCGTAAAAGTACACGTGAAAGGCGCGGAATGAAAGTTTCATTTGATCTTCGTGGAATATTGCTTTTAAAAATTCGCCAGCTGGCCATCATTGTTGCACGTTCCCTCTTGGAAAAGCAACATGTTCTCCTCAATTCTTCGAATGTATCGTCAAGCTATATTTTCTCTCTGGTTTTTCTCAACGGCCCAAAAATATCCATTGCGATTTTATCATTAGGTTCTGTAGGCGTGTCACTCATAGTCGGAGTTTCAGTAGATCAGATTCTGATTAATTTTTGAGTTTGGCATGTCTTACATCTATGTACATAATCTATTATTTCCTTATCCATACTTTTCCACTAATATTTTTTCCTTAAATTCTATTTATGGTACTATTTTCTCCGAGGTGTTGAGATGTGTTACTACCATGATTCTCCGCTAATATTTGATTTATTTCGTCCTGCGTCGGTTCTATGTATTAGATTTGGACAAAAATGAATATCTATTTTCAATTCATTACTTTAAAAAGAAGAAGATAGACAAACTATCGTTCGTCTATTCAATTAATTTTTCATCCACCATTCTGCCGACACCGGAGAATCGACTCTGAAGAAGCTACTTTTTTTTTTTTTTTTTTGAAAAATCGCGACTCTCGGTTCTCTCGCGCGAAAGAATTTCTCGCGCCAGCGATATCGTAAATATCACTTGGGTTGGGAAATACTTCGGTGTATTTCATAAATTTAAATTTCGCCGAAGGTAGAGTGAGAAAGAGTGGAGATAGAAGGAGGAGAGAGAGAGAAAGCGGCTTCGTCTTTTCACAGTGAAGACTCTTACAGGCCGCACACCGTTTATTACACTGGCGGCGCCCTGTTATATTTTCGCGCGGCGTTGCACAGCCCGCGCCGTGGATCCAATCTTAACTCTAAATTACACCTTAATGGCCGAGCATCCGTCCGGACAGGTCCCCGGGACGTTCCTCTAATTTGAGCAGATTATTAAAATCGCATCGCCGCGATCCTCGAAATGAAGGATCACCCCGGCAGGCAAACGACGATGGAACTTTTCTCGTAAAATAAATCAGCCGGCCTCCCTCCCTCCACCCACCATCGGCGGTAATTCGACGGAGCCACCACCACCACCACCTTGCCAGCAATATTGGATATTTTCTTAATGGTGAAACTTCCACGGTAACCGGCTCCTCTGTTCATCTTTATGAAGTCCCTGATAAATCAGTACCCCCTTCGACGCGCGCCCACCTACCTGTTTCATTCGATTTCAATCCAACTACCGCGTTTGAGCAAATGTACCTTCACATCCGGCGGAGATTAAAAATTCAGAGGCGTAACGGAATTCCGGTAGCATCGGCAGCTTCGTCGGATTAAATTTTTAATTTGCAAAATAGTGGATCCACCTGCAGATCGCCGGTACTGTTTGAGGGAATGTTTGACGTTGAAGCGATTGAAGCTAAAGAAATCGCTGCGAGAAGAGAATTTTTATTATTTCGCGAGGTATCGTTGCCCCAATCGCAGAAATGGGATTTTTCGTTTGAATATACGCTGGCGGCTGGCAGCAATATTCTGGTTCAATTAAAGTTGGAATACTTTGGCTCGGTAGCGGTGGTATGGTTGAAAATTTCCACCTGATGAACGCTTGCTTCCTTACGAATTCCGTCAACGAGTCACCTATTCGGACGTTGGAACTAAACACACGTTTCCGTCTGCGTTTGTTCTAGGCACTGCACCAGCGACTACATCGCCGTGTACTCGGGCTCGACGACGTCGAGCCCACTTCTGAAGATGCTCTGTTTCAAGAACAAAACCTCGTTGACGTACAGCGGCCGGAAACTGCTGGTCGAGTTCAGGTAAGAAAGAAGGAAACGCCACGGCTTTTACCGTTGAATTCAATTTAATCGAACTCGATCAAGCTCTCGATCTTCGTTTGAATGCCGTCAGTGAAAAAAAGAAGAAGAAAGAAAGAGAAAATGTGAAAACGTTGCTTGTTTCAGAGCGGGGCAGGAAGTGCCGCCTTTCGATTACAATGGCTTCGTCGCTACCCTTAATTTCATAGAAATTACCACGGAAGCTCCTACCACGGTTACTACGGACAGCACAAATAAAAGCTGTAAGTATTCACAGCGAGAACGCTACGAAACGAAATTTCATCTTTTAATCGGAGATAAATTAGTTGACTTGTTATTGAAAAATTAATGCCTCTCGAGGCAAGGCGCAGCAACGAGCTATAGTTATATAAAATGAAAACTAGAAATGTAGAAAACTAGAAAACTAGAAAACTAGAAATGTAGAAAACTAGAAAACTAAAAATGTAGAAAACTAGAAAACTAGAAATGTAGAAAACTAGAAAACTAGAAATGTAGAAAACTAGAAAACTAGAAATGAAATAATATAAACTACATTCTAGAATTATTTTCCTTCTAACTTCAATCTTTGATATCGTAATTCTTCATTGGGCATAACGTTTCCTTCAATGAAAATTTATTTCAATTGCCATTCATTACCATTTGTTATAACTCGTTATAAAATCGCACGAAGGAAAAAAGGAACGAGCGAGTCTCGCGATGAAACGTCACGAAACGATCACGAGATCGAACGGTACGGATTAAATCTGGTCTAACAAGCGCCACGATAAAAAAAAAAAAAAAGAGAAAGAAAGAAATGACACCGATGAAGCGATTTCTCCATTAAATCTTTCGTTCCGCGGGGATTCGGAATTCGTTTCTGAAAAATCCTTGCCTGAATCCGCACGGCCCGTGGATAATTAATTCCGACTCCCGCTTTCATTCAATCAGATTATAATCTGCCGAAACTGGGTCGTTCTTATTTGAACAGCGATTTCCACGGCTCTCTGCGTTTCTCCACTGCCCGGTCGTGTTAATCCGACTCGAATTTCAGTGGACACGACCAAGCCGATCAACGCCGTTGGTTACAACGTACGCTACAACAATCGGGATCTTCAGGATCATCGGAAGGATCAGGGCTCGATATCGGGTAGCTGCGATCTGGAGGTGCACGGCGAGAAAGTCAGAGCCGGCCACCACGATACCAGAGGCAAACTGAAGTCCACCGCGTGCAGGCTCGTGCTCCGTGGACGTGCTTATGACACTGGACACGTCTCGTTGGCCAGTTACAATCTCAGGTAACGTAGAGACCTCGTAGACCGTAGCTTTTAACTTTTTACACGGATCCACCGCGCGTTTCTGCGAAACGTCCGTTGATTCATGTTTTTGAAACATTTATACAAAGTACGTGATCGGATTATCCCCCGGCAAAATTCCCTCCGACGCGTGAAAATATTTCTTTTTTTTTTTCTTTTTTTTTTTTTCTTCTCGATTCGTTGATAGAAGTATCGATTTCTTCTGTGAAGATTCTGCTAATAATTCGTGAAATTGTTGATAAAGAGAACGACGCAGCTTGGCCGAGTTTCACTGCACAAGACAGAAAGGATATAATCTTTCGCTTCTTGCTGAAGGATTTTCGTGAAATTAACAAGAGAAACGGTTCAAATCGATAGGAAGCGAGGAATAGTTGTGCGTTTGTGATTAATTCCCGTGTTAGCAATGCTACGAAACAGCATTGCTCGGTCAGCTCGTGCAAAATTTTATTCAGTCGATACAGAGTTGCCGTTAACCGATTAATAATATGGCCGTATTCGTGTTATTATTTTCGCCGGGTCATTTACATAAAATAATTATTAATCAACGTTCGCTGAAATCAGTATTTAGTCGCTGGCAATCGTTATTCGTTACAATCGCAGTGGGATTTTCATTTTCGTGTGCACCTCGTGAACCAAACACCTCTCGAAACGTAAAAAGAAGAGAGAAAAAAAAAAGCGTACCAAAAATGAACAAACGTAATAAACGAAACATATTCGCGCGCAGCGTTGAAAAAATTTTATTCCCTGTAAAATGAATAATTTTCGCAGAGGTGAAATTATCACGCCGCAGACATTTATGCAAATTTATATATCTCTGCAAGGGCAGTTGGAAAAAAAAAGGAAGTAACGAGACGTGAATTGAGATCTGTTTTACGCGAATCGAGTGTTGCATCGCATTCTTGCTTTTCAATCCATGGTTGAAAAATAATGCATTACGAATGTCGAATTTTAACGTGAATGCGCGCTTCCCCAGAATATTCCAAGCACGATGCCATCGAAAAATTAATCCTGACGAAACAACCATCGCAAGATTCGCCTTAATTCGGCTCTCATTTCGTTCTCGTTCCCTCCGTATTTCATGCAGACGCGTTCTTGCCTCGAGGAGGGCGAGAAACACGATCTCGGGAGCCCTTGGACACGGTATTAAGGCGATTGCCTCGGAGCATAAGGGCGCCGGTAGAAAAATCGGCTACGAAATTCAGTCACGTAGCGAGCCGTGTGCCACAGCCCGCGTGGCTGGAATTGCACTGCATTTGTTTACCTCTTCCACGAAGTGCAGTCGTCGAGAACCCTCCGCAATTTCGGTTCGGCCTGGTTTCCCATTGATCGAAACTTCTCGCGCTGTTCATTGATCGATACTTCGATTTAATTAACCGCACGAAAGAACGAAGAAACCCGATACACGATGTATTAAGTAACGCTCGAATTAATATTCAGATGTTTCGTGGAAACGCGTGAGAATAATTAATTTCCAGGAGTACGAGTAATTTAATTTTTCCTATTTTAATTCGATCGTAAACCACGACATGCGATTACCCATCATGATGATTTTCATGATGAATTGTGATCGTGTATAATAAAATGGGAAACCGTTTGCGAAATGATCAGTTCGTGATATTTATAAATGCAGTCTGTTCGTATTGCACGAGGATGTAGATAAAAATGTGAAATTTGTAGTCACACATTTTGTAGCGAGAAATTGTTACTTTTCTCAACTGCAGTGGAATTAAAACACAAGACCAGTTGATTAACTGTCTCCTCAACAATCCAACGTGCACTGTACGATAACACTAAAACTATTCGAGGACCAATGTACAAAAATTGAGTCAAAGAAATTGGAATACAAGGAATAGGAAAAGATTTACAATGCGACAGTGAACACGAGCTTTTATTCGCACATTTTACAAAAACCACTCGAATCTCTAAAAAAAAAAAAAAAGATGTAACATTGTAAAATCGCAAAATTACTCTAAAACAATCATAAATTGGTCATTTTGACTGCTTTGGCAGTTCTTTGGCAGCGTTAAAAAAAGAAGAAAACAATGTAAGTTACGATTAATCAATTCAAGATATATACATCTAACAACTGGGCGCTGCCGCAGTTCCGCGCACAATTCCAATTAATCCGACGTGCATTTACAATTGAATCACTCGAGGATTTCCCCGCCCTGCAATCAAATAGTCATCTAACGTCATCTAATGTCGCTCGCGCCTAATTTCCATCTTCATCAATCATCATCGCGACGACCCCCAAATGTAATTGGTGAGCCGAAACGCTTCCTCTTAATCCCATCAAGCACGCACGTGCGCGAAATGTTCTCGTTGTCGGAGCACCGAAGAATCCGTCCGTGTAGGTGTATCAATCAGCGTAACTCATCGAATCGTTGCCAACCGTGGCGGAGAAATACATCCAACCTCCCCCTCCTTCGCCACCCATCTCGGAAGTAATAGATACGAAGTAGTAGTAAATCACGCGGGAATGCGGCTGGCTCGTATCCCCGGGATTTTCAATTATCATGCACAATGGCTGCAACGCGAACGGACCGTGCATTCGTGGCTTTGTAGATATGTTCCCATCTCCGTAAGAGATGGTACGCGCGCTGGCAAGTGGGCTGAGAGGGCGCCCCCCCCTCTCCCGCCCCGTCTTCCAACCCTCAAAACCGGCGAAAGAGGGAAAGGGTGAACCGTAGCCAAGGAACGAACGTAACATCCGTGCCTCCTCAGACACGGCAGACACATAACCGGGAATAAACTAAGCGAGGACACGCACACCATCGAGAGAAACGCAGGAAAAGGGTGAGAGAGGCTGCGAGCCTTCAGACCTCCGAGGGTTTATCGAGGGTGGCATAAATTTCCAATGGAATATTGCGAGTCCGTTCTAGGTGAAGGAAGAACGTCCTTCTGCGGAGGTGTTCTGCGCCGGATAATGGTTAAGTCATAGTATGGGAATTTTTGCAATTCTTTTTTTCTTCTCTCTCTCTCTCTCTCTCTCTCTCTTTACCGCGTGTTCTTTTGATTTTCTTTTTCTTTTTCTTTTTTTTTTTTTTCTTTGTTTGTTGATATACGTTACGTGACAGTTTTTCTCGGTTCTTTTTTTGGGAATAATTTATCTAGCAATATGGATCATGGGACGGTGTATGTTTTGTTTATTTTTGGAAGTAATCGTTTCATTGTCGGATATTTGGGGATAATTCACAACTGTTAACCCTCGGATACTCGCCAACTTAAAGCGACGCTACTAGCCGACACCGGGTCACTTTTGACCCATGGCTGAATTTTTGCTATACTTGCTTTGCACCTAACTTTTTAGTGCAGGATGTTACATAATTATATTATTATGTTACGTGTTTATATTATTTATATTATGTTTATATTATTTTTTTTATTTTTTATATTATTATGTTACATGTTTGTATTATTTTTGTACAATGCTTCAGCCAAAATTAATGTAATTAATATAAACATAAAATTAATTAATATAAACATAATATAATATAAACATAAAATTAATTAATATAAACATAATATAATATAAACATAAAATTAATTAATATAAACATAATATAATATAAACATAAAATTAATTAATATAAACATAATATAATATAAACATAAAATTAATTAATATAAACATAATATAATATAAACATAAAATTAATTAATATAAACATAATATAATATAAACATAATATTAAGTATTAAACATAATATTTTTTATTTTATATATCATTATGTTACATGTTTATATTATTTTTGTATAATGCTTCAGCCAAAATTTCCAGAAATATCTGTCTTTGAAGTATTTTATTCCTTCGCTACGATCCAGTTCTGAATCAACGGTGACCCGGTGTCGGTTACGCGAGGGTTAATTAAGTTTCACAATTGCGCAGTATTCGTTCTGATATTTAATAGACGAAGTGAATCTCTAGTTTGGTACCATTTTAAAGTTAAACTTGCAGTATTTTTATCAATCGTTATACTATCGTTCACGACGATCTATATCTGCAAAATCTTCACTGTTCCGTCTGACTAGTCTCAAGCTTCAATTTACAAAATTGCGACAAATTAATTGACAGGTTCTGTCAGATGTTATCAGTCGCGAAAGTAATTCAGAACGTTACCGTATTTATCCGTGTGTGTCCCGTTTGATGCATGATTTGCTAAATCTCGCGGAATCGAAATCGAGCTTAACTTTGGCTCGAGTATGATTCAACAATAGGCAACAATGCGCGGTACACGCGTAATCGGATCATGGACTCGATGTTGTGCTCCAAATAGTCAGTTCGGAGGTCGTGATTACGCGAATTCGTAGTAGTAAGTCAGTTGTGAGACTGACTAGTGAAATAGAAACTGGAAATTTATTCGAAAGTGTCACAGAGCTCGGCACTGAATTTTAACCGGAAAAAAAAAAGAAAAAAAATGATTCAAAATGTGAAATACTTGCAATAGATTTCTGACTGTTATTTCTTCGAAGATTTCTAACTCGTTCGTGAAATGAAGAAGATGAACGTTTATAAATCGAAAGCGAACGTTCAATATTCAAATCGAAAACTCCGCGTAGTGTACGTAGAGATTAATTTCAATTTTGCCTGACTTTTATAATTTGTGTCCGCGGGTGATAAATTTCGGCGATCCACATTCCATTCGAATTTTATCAGTTGACCTTTTTTCGTCGGTCCCTCGAATATTCGCTCGCAGAGAAGCGCGCGCGTGACAGAAATTTTTAACAACCCTGATCGGACGCCGATTTATCCAAGCTGCATTATTTATCGCAATCGATACGCACTGAATTCTGTATCGTTTTCGCTTTTACGTTTATTTGCACGAAACTCTTTCGAAGTTATTGTTGCTGTTGTTATTTACAGCGCAAAAGTGAATTCGAAAATGGTAATTAAGTCTTTGAAGCGAGATTAGCCGGGGTTCGTTCGTTCGTGAAAAACAAGTTTTTATTCAAAGGCTCTCTAAAGAATCAATTAACCATCCTTTTGATTGCATTCTTTCCATTTAACGATTGGAGATTACCATTGGTTTTAATTATAATATTCGCCTGCTGCGTTTTAATTTATGTAGAATTTTCTGATTACCCGAAATAATAACGCGCCGCTCGGAATGGAATTTTTACATAAATGGAATGAGTGACTGTAAATGTTGTGTAATTGAGTGTTTCAGTAAATGAAAGAGATCGTTTATTTTCATTCTTAAAAGGAAACGACGTATTCTCGATCGCTCTTACGAGATATCATCTCCAAGTTTCTCGTTAATTTATAAAACGTGGGAGACAAGTTAATTATTAATTATTCTAATTATTTTACTTGTATCTCTTTTATTTATACTGTCCTCATTTTCTAGTACACTGGTAATTTTCACTTAAAAAAGAGATTACATTTCATTTACGTTTAAAAGAACAAAGACCAGTCTCCTAATTAAATTAACTTGTCCTTATTAACTCGACTGCCCCTTCTGAGAGGACATCGTACTTAAATCTAGAGGTAATAGCTTGGGCTTCCCTTTTTTATAATTTGCTGATAATTATAATGAACGTTTCGTGCTGTACGATGTATAATAATATAATATCTCAACGGACGCCTAGAGTAAGGAGAACAAAAGAATTTCAGAAAGAAGAAAGACTGCTGAAGTCAATTCACATAAACTGGACTTCTTATTGCTTCCTACGAAAGTTTAAAAAAATGACGGAGGATATTATTTTTCGAGAGATTCAAACTACGTATCAACTATTGTATATTATATTTGTTCCAACAAACCCGCAATGCACGTTGATGATTGCTAAATTTAAACGATATCACATGTTGGAAAGACACAGTCAACAAAATTTCATGTCAAATACCATTTGAATGATCATTTCCAATGCTATGTCATTTCATAATACCTAAAGTGATGAGCTTCGTAAATAAATTGTTGATGACACGAAAGGAATTTCCGAGAGTTAATTTTCAGTTTCGCGGTTATAGAAATATCTGCTTACATAGTAAAATGATTAATCAATCGTTGCACCGATAACAATCGGTCCTTCCAACGATCGATTCTTTTCTCCGTGTGAGTGATCGTTACAGTGAAATGTAATTCTCAAGTCTTACTAAAAAAAGTTTCCCGGAAATTTCTTTCCCGAAGAGAATAGGCACATGTTCGTAACCTTGACTTCCAGGAAATAATATATTTGCCTTACATGGATGTTGCAGTGCTCAAGGCTGCCAGTCGTCGATCGAAGTATTCGACGGCGTTCCCGAAGGAGGGATGCTTAGCACCGCGAGATCCCTCGAGAGAATCTGCAGCCCCGCGCGGAGACTTCCACTGGAATTCGTGCAACAAGATACGTAAGTGGATTCTCCAGTTATTAGACGAGAAATACCGACGTCGTCTACTAGCACGCGGCTTATTACTCCGGATACTGTACTAAGAAGTCCTTGGGATTCCGTTCGATTCACTACGCGAAATGCAAACCGCCCGTGCCATCCCCGGGGTTGGCGAATTGACACACAGCTCGTTGAACTTGCAAGATTAATGCGGAGAACTCGTCCGTTGATCGGCAACGTTCAGTTGACATTCTTCCCGCGAGGCAGTATTGCGAGTCATCAGCTTGGAAAATTCCACCCGTCCGTTCCTAGATCTCTAAATCTTGCGCGAAATCTCTAATCTCAGAATGAAGATTCCCAAGCCTTTTGTGAATTGAAAATCTCGGCTGGTACCTTTGGAATCATTTAATTCTCGAGTCGACGTTAACTATTTAGTAGAGTTGAGTTATCCGGACCGAAACTTTTGGATCGTCTATTGTTCAGATCTGACACGTAACTGCTTTACTACGGGAAATCCCTGCGTCCGTATCGACGTCATACAAATCATAAAAATTATGATTGTAGTATAATTGTAGAAATTGATAGAAAAACAAGTTTCGCCAATGACGAAAATATTAACCTCCTGCGCTGGAATGACATGCCACGCACGTCGAGAATTTTTTATCCCAAAATTGCAATATTCTACGTATATTTAAGTATATTTCTAAGTATATTTAAGTATAACCCAGGCAAAACAAATAATAAATTTGTTACTTCTCAATAATTGCTACCCAGTGATATCATACCGACGAGTTCAAAAGGAAAAGAAAGCGACGAATTATTGTACACGTTATGGTCCGCAATCAGTTGCCAGCGCAAGTGGTTAAAACTCTCGCTACTCGCTGCGTCTTCACTCTCGATGTTCTCTATCTTCCTTCGCGATTTACCTCCTCGAAACTTTCGTCACTCGCAAAAAAAGACACAACCATACTCTAATATTTTAAGTTCTAAACTTAGACGGCTAAACAAACATTCCGAGGCTCGGCCTTCGCTGTGACAATTACGGGGAACACTGAGCAAGCGACAATTGCCTCGCTCTTTACACATGTTACAAAAACACATTATAAAAGTTCAAGTCCAGCAGCCATCAATTTTCTGAAAGTTCGACGAAACGTCACGAAAAATTGCAATTGAAAAGACAGACCCTCCGCTGAAAGATGGATCCCCTCGTTCCACGGCGAAGTTCCATATCAATCCCACTGCGGAGTTAATCTTTCGAATCTTTCCCCCAAACCATAAACTATCGGGCCGTAACCTACATTAACGCGCTCAATGCACGGAAACATCAAAACCCGGCATTCACCTTACCGAGGCACGGTTCGATTCAACGTTCGTGCCCGGCGAACGTAATTGAACGAGCGTTCAACGAGGCTCTCCGTATGACGCTGAATGGACCACCGGCGTTTTCTAGCATTTCCTTTGCCTCTGTTCGATCTAATCAACGTGACGCGGAGCGCAGCGAGCGAGGTAAGCAAACAACCAGCCAGCGATCACGGTCCTACGGCACGATGTTTTTCGATCTTTCGACGAGCAGAAGAAAAAAAAAAGAAAGAAAGAACTTGATGCGTGCAACTTGATCGTCGTGGCTGGTCGATTTCTGGTATAGGCGAGGAGGAGATGAAACAGGAGGAAAGGGGAGAATGGTAGGTAATCAGGAAACAGCCCCGACCTATTCGTCATTGGCGCATCCGGTCGGGAGAACGAGACACGGGGCCGCCGCTCATCTCGTCGGAAGTCGAGGATGAGAGACGACCTATGGCGATACACGCTGCGTCGCGTTTGCATTTACACACCGGCATCCTCTACGGAAGGAAGACATTGCCAAAAGGGAGAAAGAGAGAGAGAGAGAGAGAGAGAGAGGAGAGAATCCTCTCAATGAAATCCTGAAAATTCAACATTATCGACCGATGTTTTTCGAAGTTCCTTGAACCACTTACTTTCGCATGGCAAACGCATTTCATTTTCTCGAGATTTTTAGAAATATATTTCACATATTTCCAGGGAATATACTTTACATATTTTCCGCGTGATTAATATTGTAATCACTGTAATTACGGAGGATTAGTGTATCAAGTCAAATTTTTTTTATTCCCCGCGTGATGCGACTTAAGAGCCAGGAAGTTCGCACCCACAACACTTTTGAAACACTCTGATAAAACACGTGGTCGTGATTTATTATTACCATAGTCGGTCGTTTCGTGTTTTTTTCATAATCCGCTGGTGGAAAGTTCGTTGAATTTCCGTTTTGCGCTGAAAAATGGAAATATCGAATAAACGTTCGGTTAAAAAATTTTGCATCTTTAATTGAATTGCTGAAATTCAACGAGAAAGAGAGAAAGAGAGAGGAACTGCTAGGCACAAGAGTGATTTAAAAAAAAAAAATTGAACGTGTATACCGTATACCGAATTCTTTACGTGCACGCTGCGTCATATTGAACAACGCGTGCTCGTAAAAAACATTTTAATGTCGATCGATTCGATTCTTGCGCGTAATAACGCGAACGTCGTCGAGGGGGAAAAAAAAGGAGGGGGCCGCTATCGCGGAAGACGAATTCCTTTCTTGTCCTCTATCATCGTGGAATTTGAATATCGACCGTGAGCACGATTTATATACGACGCTTTTATTCGCTCTTTATTACGGATTCTTTTTTTTCTCTTCCTCCTCCTCCTCCTCCCCCCTCGTTGATATCCTTTGACATACCGAACCTTCGTTGACATGGTATCCGGGGAACGTAATTTCGACGTGTAAGAGGCGTGTTCCGCGGAAGCGGAATTTCAGAGAATTATCGGTACGGATGCGTTGATGCTTCGGGAGAGATATCAGAGAGGCAGAATGAGCAACGGCGACATCCCTGGATCGGTGAAATTCTGGCGTGAGATGCCTTTAACTGTCGTGTAACGCGTGCACGTAACTCGTGCCGTTGTCAGTGGTACGTATGTACGGTGCGTGCCGAGTAGAATAGGTACGTGTGTGCTCGGACGTAGCGCGAGATGTACAGACGTAGCGCGAATGAGCTGTGCGGAGGGAGAGTGAAATTTGTACGATCAGGCGAGTTGCATTGCACGCTATCCTGGCAACAGAGGAGGAGTATAAAATTAGTGGTCGTCGCAGCAATTAGCGTAACTCGAACGTTGAAAAATTAAATGCCCAACGGATAAAGTGGGCAATAAGTTTCTGAAGCGGAGTCGCGGAATGACACAATGGACAGGAATAATCACGTAGTGATAAAAATCAGAAATATCAAACGTACAAATGACAATCAGTTTCGGTAATTACTATAGCCATCGATTGAGAGATTGGGAAATTGAACGTGCACCGGTTTACAATGTAACAAATTTCCGCGGCATGAATTGACGAATTGAAAACAGAATTATTAACGATAAATTCGCGATTGATCCCGAACGACGATATATATACAAATTGAAACTAGACAGTGGCCGACATTGTAACTGTTACAGTTCGTGCAGTAATAGGAAATTAAATATCCAAACGGTCTGATGAATGGTTAAAATTCGCAATCGCGTCGATACGAATTTCATAATCAGTTCGAACGCGCGACAACCGGATCGCGTCGTAATGCGAAACGATCGAGCGGGCGGGGAAGAAGAAAAGAAAAATTCCAATAGAAAAGAAAATCTGATCCATCTATCTAGACAAAGTATTAATATCCAAAGTGTTTGCTCGGCGCTGACGGAGGGAAGCCCTCCCGGAAATGAGACATCAGAATGAAATTAGTATTTGACGTATTAAAACGTGACGTTCGCGAGGGGTCTCGCCCTCAAAGGAAGCGGACCGTTCGATTTTAATCAGATAAATGTCAAAGTGGCTCGCTCGGTAAAGAATCACGCGGCCTAGAATGGACGTATCTCCGGCTGAAAAACGTGACGGGAAACCCGGCACGAGGAAGACTTTCCCCCGCACATATTGATCAGCGTCAAGGGAGAGGGGAGGAAGGCCGGGAGTAGCAAAGGAGGGAGCAGCACGATCTGAATAGGTTACATTCCAAATCCTTTCAACCGCGATCGATGTTCACCCTCCGCAATCCGGGGAAATCGTTCGTCCACGGACGAGCCGTCGGTCCAGAAGCTGTTCTGGAAGGATCTAATTGTGAGAAGCGACTGGAATTCCAGCGCGTACGTAAACAACGCGGTTAATACTGTGTCTGGCTCTAATGCACAGCTGGGATTCCTGATCCTTAGCAATGGGAAGAAAAAGAAAAAGAAGGGGTGGGAGAGGAGTAATGAGAGTGGGAAAGTCTCAAGTTTCGAATGGAAATTGGATTTTGTTGAATTTTGAGACAGATGTATGTAGCTTTCAGTTTCTTTCAGTGTTGGAATATTCACGTCAGCGTGGCTCTGAATCTGAGTTTAAATTCGACTTTAACAGTGACTTCGGTTCGTTTTTCATTCACGTTGCAATGCTACCGGAAATTTATGAATTCGAGAAACTTTGAGAATAGATTGCATCGATATAATTGAAATTTTCAGATGAAAATGAATCGCTCGGAAGTCATATTTATTTGTTGTTAGAATTTACCATTATTTGTGTCATTTTCTTTGTATGTAACAAAATTGTTAAAGTAAGTCGTTTTTTAAGCCTTGAATGTTAATCTTGTAAAAATTTTGCTCGTGATTAGATGCGTGAAAAATGAAATCTCCTCTTAAATCTTCCTGTACGATTTCTTTTTACCATTTTGATGAAACCTTTGGTCACTTGATCTCGGTATTTAAAGTTCAATAAAATACTGGAAAAGAAGAAGTTCTAAGGATTCGTTGTAAAGGTGGACTTCACTCTTTAAAATGACGATGGACCTAGTCGCGAATTTCTACAATTTTCAAAAAAAAGGATGTCTCAACCTTCTCATCTACACGATGCAATTCTGTCAAAGTACAGATTCTGTGTTTTGAAACGAGACCAAATAAAGCGTTGCATTTTTACAAAGTTTAGCAAAATTATCGAGAATTTTTCATCAATTAGTTGT